AGCCCGATGCGGGACTCGATCCAGGGACTCCAGGATCATGACCTGAGCCGAAGGCAGTTGCTTAACCAACTGAGCCACCCAGGCGCCCCAACATAGAGATATTTTAAATTCTTTTTTCTTTCATATTAAATCTTCAGAATCTATTGTGTATTTTACACTTACCACACATTTCAAAGAAGTCTGGACAATTCCAAGGGCTCACTGGCCACGTGTGCCTTGTGGCTACTACATTAGACAATACAACTGTTGATTTGATGCCAAAGAGTAGAATTGCTGGGTCATAAGATATGCACATTTTCTTTTCTTTTTTAAGACATAAATCTTTAATGGTAACTCAAAAGCAAGCAAATTTGATTACTCCTTTAGAAATTAAAAGGAGTTATTCTTTCAGGCATACTAAGGAGTGTTGATTAAAAAACAACTTAGGGGGTGCCTGGCAGGCTCAGTTGGTGGAGCATGCAACTCCTGATCCCAGGGTTGTGAGTTTGAGCTTAACAATAAAATCTTAAAAAAGAGAGAGAGAGAGACCTTAAAATATCCTTGACATAAGCCCAGAAAAACAAAACAAAACAAAACAAAAACTAATCAAGTGGGGATGAAAGAAATATGGTTAGTCCAGTGGAAAGAAGTGACAGGTTTAGCTTCAAACACTGAATTATTAAAATTTATGAATTTAATTTCATAATTCATTATGAGGGTTTTCACAGCTCATTTGCCTTCTCAATGTCTTTATTCAAGTTCTTTAGTTAAAAAGGTCATGTGGGTTAGCAATCGATGAAGAAAACAAACTACAATTACTTTTTTTTCTATTTCTGACCAAAATGCAAATTCTGCACAAGATATTTCGGGTTCCACTTTTGTTTTCATGATAAAAATATAAACCACAGTTTAAAAGGAACTCATGTGGTTCCATCGTCCTCACTCTTGCATAAATTGACTATAAGAAAATTACTTTAAAAAAATTTTTATTATTATTAAGTAAACTCTACCCCCAACCTGGGGCTCAAACTCATGACCGGAGATGAAGAGTTGCATGCTCTACTGACTGGGCCAGCCAGGTGCCTCAGAAAATTACTTTTTAAAATAAAATTAAAGCAGTATGTTCCAAGATTGTCACTCCATGGAGGAGGAATGTCCTTGGGGAAGGGACAAGATTTACCTTCCCCCAGGAATATTTCATTAGTCCCTCTGCCATTGTCACTAGAACCGGCCCACGTCGTGCTGCTTCACCCATAACACTCCGGCACAAGGGTGGGAAGGGGGCTGAAGAGTCCAGAGCAATCTTCCCAGAATTTTCCAAAGCCGTGAAGAGAAAGCTGGGATCTTCACAAAAGAGGCGGGTTAACTGGAAACCAATTTGCTTTCTGTGAAACCAATATGCTACTTTCTGTCCCACTGATAAGATACGGATCTGCGCGTACCTTCCGGGCCCCGCCCCACCCCACCCCCCACCGGGGTCTTTAACCTCTTCGAGTCCGAAGCCCCAGAAGATGAACCTCGGAGACTCGGTGGTTCACTTAGCAGCCTGGCCCTGCTCTCCGCGTTCAAGCCTCTCCCCTGAGCAATGACCTTCCGGAAGAATGATGGACACCAGGCAAGCCTTCGGTGGCAGGGAAACCTACCTACTCAGAGGGCCTCCGATTTGCCCTACGACCCCAGCAAGACATGGTAGGTGGGGAAGGGTGTGGGCACTTCCACCCTGCACTTACTTCAATACACGTGTGGTGAATGAACACAGGACACGAAGATGAGTAAGAACCTGTTCTGCTCCCCAGGAGGTAGAAGTCCAGTGGGGGTACACACGGTATTCCTCTCGCTACCAAGAACACCGTGTCAACTTTTACAAGTGACAGAGCACTATGTGCTATAAGGTAGGGAAAGAGGTGTTTTCTACTTTGCACGGCACTGTGGATTGTTTCACAATTTCTTAGTTTTTATGTAAAAACACATGAATGCAATGAGTTTTTAAAAAGGCTCATCAGGAAAAAAGAAACCTGCATGGTCATCTCTAAATTTTACATTATATAAAGAAGCTTGGCATTTGCTTTTTTTTTTTTTTTAAATCAGAAAACGCTGTTACTTGTCGCGTTTGCTGCCTCCGCGGAGGAGGACAAAGAATATTGAAGAAGACCGCACTTACTCACCCAGCCCTTGTGCAATTTGGGGAACTAAGACCAGGGCGAACCTGAGGAAGCCGGAGAGAGGAAGCACGCGGACGCCGGCTCTCTGGCCACAGCGCGGTGAGACCCAGAGGGCGCGCTGTCCCCGGCCAGGAGCCGCGTGCGCGCCCCCCTCACCCCGCCCCGCCCGCAAACCTCCGAGGTGGGCGAGGCGGGGATGCTGGGGGCGGGGCCTCGCGGGGCGGGGCCAGGGGCGAGGCCGCCGGGTAGGAGGCCGGGAGACGCGAGGCGCGGTCCGCCCGCGCAGCCAGTGCGCCGCGGTTTGGGGTGCCGCGCGGTAGCGCGCCCTTTTGCGCCCCGGCGGCCAGAGGTTTGCTGCAGGTAACCGACTCCTCCGCTCCGTCGCACCCGGTCGCAGCAACCCGGATCGCCTGCTACGGCGCCCGGTGGCGGGTGGAGGGATGGGAAGGATGCGAGGGAGGGAGCCGGCTCTCAGCCAGGGCTCCGCTGCCCCCGGGCGGGGTGGGCTCCGCTGGGGTTGAGGAAGCAGAGCCGGGGCGGGAGGGAGCGGACACGCGGTGGGAGTGAGCCGGGAGCGCGTGTGCGCTCTGGATGCCTTCCCTGGGCCTTACTCCTGGTCCGATCCGTGGAGCCCGGGGCCGGGAGGTGCCCAGTGTCACCTGAAAGCCACTTTTTCTGGCTTCTTTCCCCCTGGTCCGGGTAGCGAGTAGGAACTGAGAAATCAGAGGAGTTGGCTGCGGGCGTGGGTAGGCAGAAGAGCGAACAGTTACTCACTGCCGTCCCTTGGGTGCCAGCAGCTTTAACTTCATTTACTCCTCCCGGTAGCCCCGCGAAGAGGCATTATTACCCACATTGTACTGATGAAGAAGCCGACACCAGGAAGAGAAATGACTCGCCTTGGGGCAAGCGACTGGAAGGGGGCTTCGAAGCCCCCCCCGCTTCTCCCTCTCCTGCTCCCTCTCTGTCCTTCCCCCGCGGGTGTCGGAAACTCGCGCTGCTGGGTCTGTTAGGAAAACAGGTGATTGTACTCCCTCCTAGGTTACTTTTTTTGTTTTTGTTTTCTTTCCTGTTAGCACCCAGTTTCTGACTCCAATTCTTCCAGTTTTTGGTTATTAGCTTTTTGAAGTGAAAGCAGCCCAGGCTCACAGCTTTGTCTCCTTGCAGCGCTTTCTCTCGATGCCGAGCGAGCCCCAGGCACCCTCGCCGGCCACACACTTCTTTCTCACGGTGGATGAGGTCGCCTGCAGATCCGGGCTGGACCTTATGGGCTGCCCAGGTGGAGGTGAGTTTTGTAGTCACCCGGCAACCCTGGCATCCTTTGCTTGATTCCTTTCTAGAGGGAAGAGAGGCTTCATTTTCCAGCTAGTAAGACAAGAGGCCAACGGGGAAGGATATACGAGGTTCGCAGAAGGCACTGGTTCCTTGAGATGAGAACAGGCGACAAGTTTCTGTGGCCTGAATTTGGCTAGTGGTAGGTGAGGCATTTGGTCGGGGATTTGTCCCCTGCTCTGGGCATTCTGTCCCCCTTTCAGAGCTGTTCTGAAAGGCAGATTTGTTTTATAGAGGGGAGGAGGAGGGGTGAATGGTTTTTAAAGACCAGTGTAAATTACCTGCTAGGAGCCCAGGCAGTTCCAGACAGGCTGCCAGAAGATAGGGTAACAGATTTCACTTCTGGCAAAAAGAAAAAAAACACTGAGCTCGGTGGATGTCTGCTATTGCTTAATGGATTTTTCGCAGCCCTTCCAGATGCGGTTTTGGGAAACTGAGTTTTTAGAAATGGATGACTTCGCAATTTTTAAAAACAATGTAATATACTGTAAATTTACTTTTACAAAGTTTTATTGTTAGATGGAAGAAGTTGTTTTTTTTTTTTTTTTTTTCCTATTTCATGGGGAGGGTTTGAAGGTTGCCCCCAGCTCATCTGCCCTTCCTTCACTGGCCCTGGGGAGGACCTCCTTAGCCTGGGCCCCAAATCTCTAGTGGATTTCATCCTTCACTAATTATAATTCATCCGTTACTGATTATAAGACTACTTCCAACCACAAGTTGGTTTTTCCATTTGTAACTTAGTTGCTTAACATTAAGAAAAATGTCCTCGAGAATTACCAACAATCTACAAAATCAACTATGTTACAGGGACTGAACAGGTAATGGATGGGGGATTTAAGGGGGGCCTCGTTGGGCACAGGTGACCTACGGAGGACCTGCTAAAATGATCTGTGTGGGTATCGGCCATTCCCTCCCCATAACCGTGCAGGGATTCTGACCCAGGGTGTCTAGATCTTTCTCCCCTCCCCCAAAATAGCTGAAAATTTTTCATTTCTTTTACAAAGTAAAACCTGATTTAAATATTGACTCTTTTTTTTCTTTTTTAAAACACAGGAACCAATCCTATTTGGTTCACACATCATTCATTTTCAGATCTGTCTTAAACACTCCTATACCTGGTGATTGCATTCTCGAGGGGAATGAAAAATTCTGAACTATGATGTAGATATAATATACTTGTCATGAAGTGAGGTGGTGGGAAGCCGAGATTAATGCTGTTGAAAATGATTTCTTCTGATTCTCAATTCCTGTGTTCTATGAAGGATGCAGTACTTCTGCTGCATAGAGGAAAGTAGTCTTTTATGGGCCAACCAAGGAATTGTGTCACTGCTGCTAATGGTCATTCTAATGAAAATTTATTCGTGGCTCTAGATCAGGATGTGGAATACCTAACTCCCTGACTTAAAAGAGGAGTTCCCCAAATGACTGCTCATATAAATCAGATGTGTTTCTCATGGGGACTATTTGTATTCTTAACCACATGGCTTTGGCACCGGATGCAACGCTTAAGGTTGTCTTGTTTCTTTGTCGCTCATCTGTGGCAGATGCTATGGATGTTGACATTTTGGGCCAGTTAAGCTTTTGTTGTGGAAATTGTCCTGCATTTTGTGGGATGTGTAGCAGCATCCTGGTCCTACCCAGTAAATGCCAGTCGTCCCCTCCCTATAGTTACAACAACCCAGATGTCTCCAGATGTTGCCACACATTCCCTGGAGGACAGAGTCACCTGGTTGGGGAAAAGAATGAGCCCACATTTAAAATGCTCTGGACGTTTATGAACTAAACTGTAAATACAATTAACTTTTAAACTTCCTGGGGCGCCTGGGTGGCTCAGTCGTTAAGCGTCTGCCTTCGGCTCAGGTCATGATCCCAGGGTCCTGGGATCGAGCCCTGCATCGGGCTCCCTGCTCTG